ACAGAACCAAATGAAGTTGTGTGATCACCTTCATTTATCCTCTAGAAGCCTTTTCATGTCCTGCAGAGTCCTGTACTGCTAAGGTCTCCTGCAGGGCAGATATTAGTGTTACATGCATGTGTTATTACACACAGAAGGTTTCTGAGCCTCCTGTGTGCGATAAAAGGAGAGGGATTATCAGGCATCAGAGTGTCCCACAGATTTAAGATTCATTGAGCACCTTATGAAAGGATGAGAAGATAAAAAGACATAACTCCTGCTCTGGGTGGGAGACAAAAAAGGAAGCAAAATAAAAATGGCAGAATATCCACCCTCCCTCCCTGGCTAGCATCTTGAGAGTTGTTTTGAAGAATGTGATTTACAAGTGTTTGCAAGAGGATGACTGGCCTCATGTCTGCTCAGGAAGCTAGAGTAATGGATCACTAAATAAGGTTGTGGAGGTGATACAGCAGGCTTCTACCCTTACCTCACCAAGCTGAGTTCAAAACTGTAAAGCCATAGCACTAAATACTAAATGCACAGCTCTCCCGAGGAAGTGGAAATTACAGACTGTCATGTTAGGAATCTTACTGCAAATTTTGCAACTCTCACGTTACCTGAGTCATTGAAAATACACCCAGTAAGAGAGCCTTTTCTTCTGTCCTCTATGGGAACAGTGTTTTGGGGAAGCTGAAGAGTGAGATTCAGTGCATCACCTTGAGTACCTGACTGGTACTCATCTGTTAGACGCTTTAGTGAGGCAGTCTTCCTGCAGTAGGCACCTAAGATCTCTATCTGGTCAGTGGAGAGAGGAAGGTCCTATAGAAAATCTCAAGAGGGATACATCATCTGCTTCTGCAGTAAATGGACAAGATTTTCTGAAGTTGGGAACTTCAGAAGGACTTTTATTTTCTTCACTGAGGAGGACTGCTTCCTTTATTACTGATGCTCAGCCATCAGTTCAGGGCTTAAGCTAGCTGGGCAATACCCTGACAATACTTATTACAACAAAATGGCCAACTTATGGAGCCTGCATGTCTCCATCTTTTTCAACCTGAGCAAACATTGGTAATCTGTCCTGCTTTGTCCTTGTAAACTGAGCAGTTTACCATCCTGACAATTATCAGTGCTGATAGATGTACCAGGTCTGGCTGGGATGGAGTTAATTTTCTTCATAGCAGCCCATGTGGTACTGTGTTTCAGATTTGTGACCAAAACAGTGTTTATAACACATTAATGTTTTAGCTGTTGCTCAAGAGTGCTCACACAGCATCAAGAATATGTCTGTTTCTCGTGCTGCCCTATTTGTGGGCAGGCTGGGGGTGCATAAGAAGCTGGGAGGGGACACAGCTAGCCCAAATTGATCAAAGGGATCATCCATGCCATATGACATTATGCTCAGCAATAAAAGATAGGGAAAAAAAAAAAGGAGTGAGGTTCAGAGTTGTAGCATCTGTCTTCCCAGGTAACCTTTACGGATGATGGAGCTCTGCTTTTGTGGAGATGGCTGAATACCTTGCCTGCGGATGGGAAGCAGTGAGTGAATTCCTAATTTTGCTTTACTTGTGCAAACAGCCTTGCTTTACCTGTTAAACTGTCTTTATCTCAACCCATGAGTTTTGTCACCCTTCCAATTCTGTTCCACATCCTGCCAGGCAGGAGTGACTGAGCGGCTGGGTGGAGCTAAGCTGTCTACCAGGGTTATCCCACAACAATGGAGAAGTACTCCAAATATTTGTAGAGAAAAAGAAAAGTTTGTAAAAAGATGTACTGAGTAATTTTTTTATCTTTTTTTTTTTTGCTATTAACAAGTGTCTATTAGCCAAGGTACTATTTCCACAAACAAAGGTATGAATATTTGCCTATGCTGTTACACAAACAGACAAAAACAAACATCATGTGATTCACCAAAGATATTTTTAGAACTCTAATGATTTGTTTGGATATATGAACTATTGAACTAACTCTTTAAAGAGATAAAAGTGAAAGCTTCTAACTAAAAGCTGTATGTACATACACAAACACATACACAGACTGCCTTTTTTCTATGAATGGTGAGAAAGTTGAGGCACTAAAGTTAGTGTCCTCAGTCACACAAACTGGTGGAGAAAAATTAAGAAAGGTCTCCTAATTTTGATTTTGAGTGTTAAAGCATTCATTGGTAGTGAATCCAGCAGCATTTACAGACAGGTATCTCTTGAGAAATTGTTCAGATACAAAGATCTGTGGAACTAGAGCATGTAATTGTAACCTGTTACAATTATTGATTTTTCTTCTTTTTTTTTTTTTTTTCTATTACAGAGAACTACCCTACAGAATTACCTCCTAGAATCCCCTATATAGTGAGTGACTAGTAAAGTTTGTTATGTACTCTTTTAAAAAAAAATATTTTTGTAGTTTTTTAGGGAATACAACTAAGGCAAACCCAGTAATCTGAACTCTGCCTGGACAGTTCAAATTTACCAAACAAATTTGGCAGCAGAATTAATTACTTCATTTTCACTGAGATTCTGAAACCTTTCATATTGCCTTTTTCAAAGCTTTGTCCCATCTCTCTTCTAATGGAATTTCTACTATGGAATCATAGGCGATAGAGCTGAAAAACTCTTATTACATCATCTATTCTAATTTTTTGATTTTAGAAAATGCAAGTGATGTCACTATACCCTTTGACCCATACTTTGCCTGAATCCTGAAAATTAGCTTAAATTGTCAGGATTTCTCCATGATCAGTCTAATCTACTTTACCAAAAAACACCCTCAACACCCTGAAAAACACTGAAAGAGAGGATATTAACAGCAAAAACAATTACTAAAGCAACTGAAGGGACATCCTACATTTTAAACAATAATTGGTCAATTTAGATTTAATATGCATAAACTGTTCAAATATATAATGGTATCCCATTCTAAGGAGTAGAGGTACTCTGAGGGTCACAAAGCTCATAAGAACTTCGAAATATAGTTGTCAGTTAAGAATTCTTGAGCTATAACCTGTCAAAAAAATAAAATAAATTGTCTTTTATGGTCATTCATGCTCCAGGAAGCAAGGCAAAGGCCAACCCTATCTGTACATGCACAATGATGGACTTTATTTCTATTCAGTAAAGAGATGTAGTCATGGTGGATAATTCCATGAAAACATCAACTCAGGGGTTGTTAAAAAGCAAGTAGAGTGCTACAAATTAATAATAATAAATCAAGAGCATATAAAACATGGTGCACTAATGTCTTGACTACTGCAACAGATCTAGTCACACATCCCAGGCAGAAGACAGTAGAATAGGAAAGGTACATAGAGACATACAAGGTAGGTGGACAGATAGAAGAGAGATAAGGATAAACAATGGTCTGAGTCAGTTTCTGTATCACAGAGATTAAAATAGAGTAGGCTATAGAAGAAAAGACAGCTGGAGGGGAGATATGAGTGAGCTCTGTAAATCTTGATCATCCTGAGAACAATTATTCACTGATCTTCACAACCATAAGAACAAGGAGGCATCAAATGAAATTAACATATAGTAGGTTAAAACAAATAAAAAGGAATAATCGTTCACTGAGTGCACAGGTCTGTCATAGAATTTATTACTGTGGGAAACTGGATGCCAAAGTTTAGATAAGTTCAGGAAGTCGCTTCAGAAAATGGTTTGACAAATTCATGAAAGAAAATTCCATCAAGGGCTGTAAAACACACAGAAATAACCTCTGGGCCAGGAATTCCCTAGGCTGTGCATTTGCCAGACGTTGTGAGGAGTTTTGGTGCAGGTAGGTTGAGGAGGTGCATGTCCACTTGTTTTATCTTTCAGTTGTGACATCTGCTACAGGTCACTTCCTGGAAATAGGATACTGAGCTAAATGAACCCCTGGTCTGTAACCATATAGGTAATCCTACATCGTGGCCCTGTCACAAAGCAGAGATAGCACTGGCAAAAGATTCTCCCTTTTCTTCCCATTTAATACGCTTCAACCTCCTTGCTGTATGAATTGAACACATTGGAAAGTAACTTCATAAAAGCATGGGCTCTCACTCATCCTTGCTCCAAATATTATCTGCCTCCTGGTGAAATTGGAAGTAACAGCAATGGCAAGTCCACCCTGGTACTGCCTCCAGGTTGTGGCATCTTGGAAAAAAATGGCCCATTTGATGGCTGGTGCACATATGCTCGTATGTATTTTTAAATATGCTGGGGGCAAATAGCTTCAGATTTTAGTTTGGGGCCAGATGGCTGATTCAAGTGAAAATAACACAGGTACACAGAGGAATGGTCACTCCAAAAAGACTGAACTGTGTATGTAACAGGATGCACACACTCCGAATATTACTGCAGTTCACAGAATCTGTATTTCAACACTAGCTGTGTTAATGAAAATAAGAAATAAAGAGCTGCTGCGTCTCAAAACTCTAAGAATTAAAAGCTATTTCTGAAACTGGCTTTAATTCTTTGACTTATAGAAGAACTTTTTGTTTAGGAAGAGACAAGCAGCCACAATTTTTGAGCCCCTTTTCCACTAAAATTATGCTACACCGGTTAAAAAATAAAATGGAATTTAAAGCTTGTGTTTTCATATTTACGGAATATATATTATTCAAGAACTAAAGAGTATAACAGGTCACCATATATTCAGATTTATGAGCATCTCCCTTTTACCATCCTAAATGCAGAGAACTGCAATATCAAAAGTAAAAGCATTAAAAAAAAATTCTTTGAATGCACATTTAAAAATGTTCAGTATCAAGTATCTTGTTCATAAACACTAGTTTTACAACTGAAATTTCTCATTTACTTCTGCTTTAAGTAGGGTAAATATAGCTTGAATTTGCTGTTCTTTCCTCTGTCCCCCCAACAAGATGTCCAACCAAAGCAAGGGATTGTTTAATCTTTTTTTTTAAGTGAAATATTAAATTGTGCCTTTTGGCAGCAATCTTCTCCCAAAAGGTTGTATGTTCCCCGTGCTTGGCACTTTCCATTCTCATAGTTTACCTGTGGTGGATATGGAACCAAATATACTACAGGACATACCATGAACAGCTGCAGCAACAGCACCAACAAAAGCAACATGTGTTGTTGGGCCTTTGGTTTCCAGGTGCTTGAGACACAGCTGATGTTCCTTCATTTTGTGACTGCTGCCTCTTTCTCATTTCAGCTCAGTGCCCAAGTGGCTATAAGAACACAGACATAAGAGATGTACAGAATTACTACAGACTGTAACAAAGTACATTCACATTTCTACAGCAATCTCTGATTCTACTGATTCTCACAGCTCATGGCAACAAAAGCACGTGGCCATCAACTGTGCTGGCCAAGTAATAGTTCTATTGTGTTAAAAGCAGTTTCCAGAAGACCACATTTTAGTGACACGCTTACACTACTGTGCCACTGAATCACATCTATTCTTGTCGCTTTGGCTGGATTAAAAGGACTGTTTATTACCCTTTTGAACAGCAAGCTACACAGCTTGTGTAGCACTTGGTAGAGACTGAGTTGTTCCTTACCATTTGACTATCACAGCTCTTTTTGTGCTAAAAATACAGCAGGATGGTTATTTGCTTTGAACATGAGCTGGAAAAGTATCTTTTTTACTTTTTGACTTCACTGGTCAATGCTGGACCAATGAAATTGATATAAGTGATATAATATCACAGGCACTAATAGCTGCCTGTTAAGAGCCAAGATTATTATGAGTGTCATAACTGGGAGGTTTGCTACATAAGAGTTATTACCTGTAAATAAAATGAATAATAAGTATTTATTTCCAAAATAGTTTTCCAACTTTAGGACTGGTTTCTAGTCACAGATTTTCTCTTGCTCATTGCCAGTCCTTCCTAGGTTTTATTAGGCCAAGTTATATTTTATATTTCCAGTGACTCCAAAATGCAGAGGGGATTAATATTCCATTACTTAGTTTTCAAAAGAAGTTAAAATATTTACTGCCAAGTCATGTTATTTAGGAAGGTTTAGGTTTCAGGATCCTTCTAATGGTTCACATATTCTTTGTATAACAACTGTAAGTTTCCCAGAGTAATGGCTTTTACAAGCATATACAAATTAGAATAAATTTAATACTTTCACCTTTGAAAAAGGATTGAAAGAGTTTACTGCATGGAGAAACCCAGTTTAAAACAGAAACAGGTAAAAGATTGCTTGATGTGAGCAGCATGTGCTGTACTCCGTGCCCCCAGGGCATCCTGCTGCAGCCAGGAGTGCTGGAGAAATGCAGGCTTTGGTTGATTTGCCACCTGGATACATCATGTGCAGACAACCAAGAGATGTTCGACTCCATCTACACACATTCTGTCAGAAGATGTGACAGCTTTCGTTTACATGGTTGCTAAAACTCCTGAAGTCTTTCTTCTGCAATAGTGTCTTTATAGGCAGTATACACACAGCAACATGTAGCAAGGATACGAAGCTTCAGAATTCAAACTCATGCTGCAAAACTCAAGGTTGGTAGTTATTTCAGCTTTTTGCATGGCTAACTTTTCCATGTACACTGTCACTGAGTAGAATCAAGGAATTTCTGAAGTGTTTGGTCAAATTAAACTCTGAAGAACCGTTTAACTACCTGTGGGGAGGGCATCTGCTTGTGCTATGGACATTCCTTCTTAAGGTTTATTGTTGCTGAACTCTCGAAGATTGAACTGACACACCATTTTTTAATCAACTATAAACATGGTTTGTTAACACGGGATACTTTGACATAATTGAAAACTGTCCATATTTTTATGATAGAAAGGAAGGAAAGGAAAATTGTTGCAGCATAACGTAGTTCAGACAGTGAGTGACAGTGTGGAGTCACTTTCTCCAAATTAGAGTGCTGAACCTCTGCTGACTGTGCATGATGCAGTTAAATTACTTCATACATAGCTGTGTCATGCTGTGAATGGTACTTGCTTCAGCAAGTGCAATGCCTGTGGTTAAAGCAATTAAAGCCAGATGTTTTCAAAGGGGATGTTTGTTTCTTGTAAGTAAGATAGAAGTTCCAGAAACTTTTATACTATAGAAATTTTGTAAACCCAGAAAATTTCTTAGTTGCAGAAACCAGTGAAATTATCCATATTTAGGTACTTGTAGGACTGTAATCTTGGAATGAGAACACCCTATGCATTCCACCTGCATACCTAAAGTTATGCGTCTCTTACACAATTTTAGCCATATATAAAAAAAATATATTATGGCTAGAATCTGTGGCACTGTAACAGACATAAGGGGGCAGGATGAAGGTTATCTGTTCAGAAATGATTACAGTTGATGACTCTGCCGTAGTATCGCAAGAACTTTAACAGAGCACAAGCTGCTGCTGTTAACTGAAATAAGTGTCTCTCTCCCTTTTCTCCTGCACAGTTTACAGCCACTTATTCCCTCACCTGAGCTGTCCCATCCTCTGTGCTGGCAGCAGTATTTATGCAGGTGCTTGGTTAGTTGGATAAAAAAGTAGGCATGATTTAGAATTCATAGGGGAAAGAAAAAAAAACATAGCTTTAACTTTTTCAAGTCGCAGTCTCGTTCACCTTGGGAAGATGTGAGCACTTGGGTCAGAGCAAGGGAGGAAACAGAAAATCAGGCAGGCAAGGGAACCATGGGGACTACTTTCTTCTGTCCCTGCTCATGCTGGCAGGAAGCAATGGTGAAAAGGGTGGGAGTTGTGCAGAAGGTAAACTCTGCAACTAATTCCCAACACACGGCACATGGCATGTCCAGGGGGCAGACACAGAAGTGTGGTTTCACAGGAACGGTTTACATCCTCAACACTGCCCAGCAACCTCTACCACTGAAAATTCTCCAGCATTAACTTTTCAGTATTGACTGCCACGGCCAACTGTTTTGGAGGTTTGCAAATCTGGCAATACATGGTAGCGCCAGGAGTTGTGAGGAAATGTGGGTCTTCACTGCAGAGCATTTCAGGAAGCATGGTTTCCTCCAGGGCTGCTCAGACCCCACACACTATCCTGTGTTTAGACTGGGAAGCAATGGGACTGCTTGCTTTGCTATTCTCTGACTCTTGTCTGGAGTATAGGAAAGGCTGTGACCCCTCTCTCCTGACTGTGCGTTATTTGGAGGAAGAGGGCAGACCTTGATTGCAGGTACAGTTATATTTATCTAAAAAAGAGAAAATAAAAAAGCCACCTGTACTGACAGAAGAAAAAAAAAAAAAACAAACCACCATGTACTGATTCAGGGATAGTTTGAATTCTAGTCCTAACACATCTTTTTGGGTGTACTTGAGGATAAACCATTAATTTTAATGCCAGGAAAGTGCTGTAAGGTGGTGTGCTTTGAAATGGATTGGTAACATGGATACTGTGTAGTGCGACTATCCTTAGCTTCCAACTGTAATGAGCAAAGATCTTACTGGCACAGTGGGACTGGGTTGTAGTTAATCCATTTCAGATGCTGTCCTTTCCCCAGCTGACATTGGTGTTCACTCTGAACCTTGCTGTATCTGACAATGCAGACTGTTATTCAGCTTGGTGTGACTGGCATGCTGATCAATAAAAGTACAAGGCTGAAAATCCAAGCAACGGGATAATGTTCTCAGTGAACACATGAATGATGTTCACTCATCTGACTTAACCACTGGCTGAAGTCAAAGTCATCAGCACTTTTCTTCTGCTTGCGTTACATTTCTTGGAGAGCTTCTAAGCTTGCTTGCGTTACATTTCTTGGAGAGCTTCTAAGCTAGAGTCTATAAGAAATAATGAAAAATCCACCCTATGATGCAGAACAATAATATGTTTACTGAGGATCAAGTAGCATGGGTGGAAACTTTAGTTTCATGCTTATTTTGGTTGGATTTCATGTTTCATTTTGTATTTGTAAATACCAGATGTCATCTACGCAAAACTGTAATTGATTCCATTAGATTATTTAGGATGCAGAAGCAGGAATATCTTAATTCCTGACTATATTTAGTCTGAGTTGTAGACAGAGTGCTTATATTTGGTGCCTTGGTTCAAGGCACGAAAAAGAAATTTAGAATCTTTAATTCAGAAAATCAGTCTGATGAGATAAATTATTGTTATGTAATTAAGGATGAAAGTACATAACTGTAAAGGAATAGAATGTGAACTGCTATTGAGCAGATCTTCTAGGATAGTGGAACAAATTGCACATACCATCTCCAAGATCTCAGCTTGTCTTTTAGTTTTCTCAATATTTTCATTTTTCCTGACACTCTCTAGCTTGGCAGAAATACTAGGTGGTGAAGATGAGTCTTTATCCAATGAAATAATTTTCCTCCATGGTACTCGGTATCTCTCATACCATCACAACACAGGCATAAGTTTCTTCTGCCAGTTTTGCATCTGGTTCCTTGCCTCCATTTGGTGGCTTGGTTTACTAACAGTCTTATGGTTTCCATTTGTGCTGATAGGAAAGAGGAACAGTATTCTAGTTTGCTTGACTGACTCATACACTTGGGGGTGGGTAGGTGTTATGGCCCTCTGAGCAGTCCCATAATCACAAAGGATTTCATTTTGCAGAACGTCTGCTGTCCCTACTCTGCAGCTGAGGAAAGGAACCCAAGGGTATAGCAACTGTTTATTATACAAGTTACGAGGCAGGTAGCTCATATAAGCTGCAGAGCAAGAATGTTTGTGTAACCCTGTGTGTATCCACAATACTGCAGTGCTAGAGGAATATGATAACTAAAAACACTGAGAAATTTGGAGTAAGGCTTCCTGTCAGTTTTGGAACTGATGGCACAAGGATCTATTTTTATGTTTAGATGGTATAATTACAACTTATTCCACTGGGTACACAGGGGTAATTATTATAGAAATCCCCATGTGCACAGAGCAGTATCTTTGGAATAGAGCTTCAAAAAGGAATAACTTGTGGAAGAACAATTTGGTTTATTACATTTATACCTGGGCAGCCCTACTGAATAACTGATCACAGTCATTTCAAATTCCACAGAATGCCTCTAGATGATGAAAATAGGGTAATTTCTGCACAGTGGCAACTCCTTGACTCTCTGCCTCTTGCAGGACTTGTGCTAAGGTTTTAGGGTGTTTTCCACAGAAATTCCCATGGTAGTGGACATGGCATAAAACACAGGCTGTATAATTTCAGTCATTTCAGTGTCTCTGTTGATGCTTATCCTCTGATGAAGCAAGAGTGAGCTTTTTTTTTTCTTTTTTTCTCCGTCACCCCAAAACCTG